AGTGTAATTGTTCTCCATATTTTATTGATTCTTGATTTCCTTAGTTCTTAATTTATTAGATGATGATTGTAAAGTAGTTATTTGGCTAGAGATTGGGTAAAACTTCTATGATTGATTGATTGTGCTTAATTTGGGGATTGTGTTGATTAATTGTTGAGATTACAATGATTAATGGAAATTGTGCATGTGTGTAATTAAATTAGGCCTTGAAAATTATGCTAGATTGCATTGTGAGTCTACATTGATACGGTTCATTGATTTATAGCTTACAATTATCGATTGAGTTTGATTAGTGACGTTCCTAGTTAGTGTCTCTCGTAGTTGGTGCTAGTTAGACCTCTAGGAGATAGCTTGTCGAGCTCTTTTGATTGCTCTTATCATTAGTCTTCGCAACCATTGATTTGCATGTTGTTCTCGAGTTGCTACAATTCTCATGATTACCTTTTGATCCCCATTCCCTAGTGCTTTATTTTTTTGGTTTCATTGTTTGTTAGTTGTTAGTTTTCTCTCTTTATCTTTGTCTTCGACCTAGCTTAGGCGCATAATTGAGAGTGCTTGAACATTATCGTTTCTTTAGGTTCGACCCTTGACTTGCCTGTATACTTGTATTTAGTTTTGTTAAGTTCTTATAGATTTAGTTTGACCGAGAGAGGATTAGTCAACGACCTAGTTTCACCCCGCTTCTCCTTGATGGTCTTCTGAAGCTTGATTGTGCTAACTCAGGTAAGGCATAAGAAGGGTAAAAATCTTGTTGCTGAGTGATGGAAGGCTGCTGGTGAAGCTCAAGCTACTAGATAATTTCAATTTTTCAAAGGCTTTGTCCTTAACTATAACTCATTGGATTTGTAATGACTCAATTCTGTGATGTTAAACAATGACTCAATTTTATGCTCGGCCTAATGTTTGATGATTGTGATTTATTATGTTGTATTAATGAACCTGTTAGGTTGGATATTGACTTAGTTCATGTGTAATGCTTGATGTTGGGACATGCCCATGCAGCTCGTCGTGGTTGGAAATTCGCTGGACTTATACCAAAGTTCTCAGGTCCATTTGGAAAATGCAGCTCGTAATTGGCTATGTCTTGCTAAGGTGTTCATGGACGTTGTATATTTTGTTCAAATGTTTCCAAACTCTTAAGGCCCATTTTGATATTCAATTGTATCATGCTAGGATTGGCTATCAAAATAAGCCAAACTCTTAAAGCTTATTTTGATATTTAATCGTATTGGGCTGAGCTTTAAAGCCCATTTTGATAATTAAATATTCAGCGTCGTAGAAATAATTATATTCCAGCATATATGAGAGGCCCATTAGCATAACTTAACATAAATAAACATTAATTAGTATACACTAGACCCTAGTGTAGGTACCATAACCTTTACCCCCTACAAAACGCAGCGTTTTGCGTTTTTCCCCTACCCCCACAAACTACAGTAGCTACCCCCACTCACCCCCACTAACCACAGTAACTGCTGTAAATTAGAAATAACTTCCCCTACCCCACATATATATATATTAAAAAAAAAACTATCCATTTCAAATTATTCTCTCTCTAAAAACCATCTTCTTCATTTCTCTATAATTTCTCTCTCATCAACACCGTCGAATCGGAACGAAATTCTCTTCAAATTATTGCAAAATTGCTTCAAAACACTTCATAATTGCTTCAAATGTCTGATATTCGAGATGAAATTAAACAATCGCAACAACATTTTGATAAAGAGTAAGTAATTTTGTTCATTTACTTACGATTTTAGTACAATTTTTGTATGAAGCATAATTTTGGTTCTTTTTCTTGTGATTGTAGAGTGATTTTGCAAAAAAACGCTTTAGAGAAGAACATGCAAGATGAAACTGGAAAATCAGAGCAAAATGTTACCAAAGAGTAAGTAATTTTGTTCATTTTCTTGCGATGAAAATTATAGAGCGAATTTATTTGTAAAACCTAATTTTTGTTAATTTTTTTTTCAATTGTAGTATCTCTTTGGAGAAGAACACTTCAGAGACGAGTAAATCAGTGACAAATCCTGAAGAAATGTATGAACCCTAATTTTTGTTCAATTTTGTTCAATTTTATGTATGAAACCTAATTTTTTGTTCATATTATTGCGATTGTAGTTATTGTTCTAAGATTTTACTGAAAATTAACAAAATAACTAAAACATTAACAATTTATTAAATAAAACAGAGACGATGATGATGATGTACCTCTTCAGTCAAGAGTAGACAAATTGAAAAAAAAAACCGCCAAAATGATCCAATTGTAGATCCTGAACTTTTAAAAGATATTGACAAGTCAATTGGTACGGATTTAAAAATGTCTCCACTACCAAGGTAATTAGTCATTTACAAAATATATTATGTTCATGTCTAATATGCTAGTTGTATTTGATAAAAATTGGTTTTATCTTTGTTTAATATGTTATTTGTATATGATCATATTTGATACTCATAATGTTCATTTATAGATATAGTTATGATCATATATTTATATTTGTTCATTTGAGTATTTATTGAGATTTAAGAACAAAAGTACATTTCATTGAAACATCATTGTTTATGATCATATTTGATACTCATAATGTTCATTTATAGATATAATTATGATCATATATGTATATTTGTTCATTTGTGTATTCATTGAGATTTAAATAACAAATTTACATTTCATTAAATCATCATGCACATATATAAATATGATAATAATCATTTCAGTGATATGCATTCGAACTAATGTCATGTAATTAATTTATAATGTAGTGATGTGCCATTTAGAGTGATACACTTGCTTCAATTTAGAGATGAAAAATCTGAACCATTAACTCTAAAGAAGGTTATAGAACAAAATGAATATGGTAATAGTTATGAAAGATACACTTTAAACAAGTAAGTTTATATGTATAAAATAATTGTTTTTACATTCAATTATTGTACATTGTATATATATACCAAACTTATTAGGTAATTCTTAAAATTTTAGTGAAAAAAAAGGTTCGAGTGAAATTTGTTAAGTCAAAATCAAGACCACCAGAGACAAATCAAACAATAAGGTATAAAAGCTTTATACCAAAATAACTAATTATCTTCTTCATTGTATTAGTTAGTTCATACTTTAATATCATATTATATAAAATAATTCTGTTTTTTTTAAGTGAACAAAGTGAGAACATTCCTGCTACTAATGCAACAACTAAGAGTGTGTCTGCTACACATAACACAACTGACAAAGAGAGTAGGGATCAAAGGTATACTAATGATCACTTTTATATAAACAAATGTTCATTTTACATACAAAATTTGTTCATTTCTTATAATACAAATTCTAATTAATGAATATATACAATATTCAGTGAAAAGAATGTAAAACAAAACCAGGATACAATTGTTACTGAAAAGGACAAACATGATGAAGATTTAAGGTAATAATGAGTAATTTTCATTTAATTTTTTATAACTGTATATTTTGTGTAAAATTTATGTGCATTTTTTATTAAAAGTATTTCTTAAAATTGATTTCAGCAAGCAAAAACAAGTTCAGCCAGAAGAGCAGAGCAATCCACACAGGAATACTCTTGAGAAAAAGGACAAAAATGAAGTTGATCAAAGGTATAAATATATAATGTTCATTTCATTTTTGATAACTATCTATTTTGTGTACCATTTATTTCATTTTTATTTAAAGTATTTCTTAATATTGATTTCAGCAAACAAGAAGAAGTTCAACCAAAAGTGCAAAGCAATCCAGTAAAGAATAGTCTTGGCCAAAAGTAAGAAAACTTAAATGTTCAATTTAGATAGACTATATGTTCATTTGCAAATCAGTACAAAAAAGTTTGCTCATGGACAATAGTAATATAAGTTATATGTTCATTTTTTTATTTACTAATCAAAATTGTAAATTCAAACATATTTTTAATGAATTATCAGAAAACCCAAAGATGATGCAAGAATAACAACATTAAAGGACAAGATGCAAGAAATACATTTAGACATAGAGAGAAACCCAAAGTATGTTTAAATTTAAATAATTGAATTAATTTAATCAATTAATGAATATATATCAAATTTTTATAACAGTATCATACATTTATAGGAAGTACAAAGAATCAACAATCAGAATTATGAGAAATCTCAAAAGAATGGAAAAGGCAAGCAAGGAAATCAGAAGAGGTAAATGATCATATTTATTGAATATTTTTGTTTAATAGTCATAAATATCAATTTTAACAATACTATTACTTTTGAAGGTGAAGCAAAAAAATAAAGAAAAAGGGCCAGTAGAAGAGAAAACTGTGGAAAAAGGTAAAAATTTTAAAATGTACATTTTTATTACAAAAAATGTTAATATTGGAAAAGCATAATATTAAATGTTCAATAAGATTAAAAAAATTAAATTTTAACTAAATAAATTTTAATAGAAGGACAAGAAGGAAAAAAAGGGACTGAACAAGAGAAAAGCCCTAAAGACAAAACTGTGGAAGATGTCTTTCCAAAGACAACAAATGTAGAAGGTAAAAATTTATAAATGTACATTTTTATTACATAAAATGTTCATATTGGATCTACATAATATTGAATGTTCAATAAGATTAAAAAAAATATAAATTTTAACTAATTAAATTTTCATAGAAGGACAAGAGGGAAAAAAAAGCCTGAAAAGGAGAAAATCCCTAAAGAGAAAACTGTGGAAGATGAGTCAACAAAGACAACAGATCCGAAAGGTAAATAGTGGAAAATGTACATATTCATTATCTAAAATGTTCATTTATATTGTATATAGTAAACATTTGTCATCCAATTTACATAAATGTTTATTTAATCTTTTATATTTTATCATTTCATATGCAGCACAAATTGCACCTGATTTTGTTCAAATTGAGGATGAAACTCATCTTCTAGATCAAGATGATGATAAAGTTTCCACAAAACTTAGTGAGGAGACAACTCCATCATCACAAAAAAGTGATCAGTCAACCAAAATGAAAACAAGATACAAAATGGTTGCAAGGAAAAACAAAAACAAAAGCCCTGTTGTTGTGCCAAGTGGAAGAATTACAAGGATCCAAGGTAATCATAATACTTTTCTGTTTCACAATAAATATTACACTTTCAAATATACTAACATAAATTTTTTTAAAAACAATAGATGTTCTGTTAGATGAATCTGAAAAGGGAAGCCAGAAGAAGGATGTTGAACCTGCTGAAGAAACCGCAAAAATAGGACAGAAGAGAAGAATGTCTACAAGGACTTCTATTCAAAAGGAAGCTGATGCACCATCTCCAGCACCTACTCCAATCAGAAAAATGGCAGGTGCTTCTGCTGAATATCCTCCAGCACCTTCTCCAACCAAAAAATTGACAGGTGCTTCTGCTAAAAAAGTTGTACAAAACCAAGGCAAAAAGGGTAAATGTTCAATCTTAATGTATAGAATGATCATTTATGATGGGATATCATTAATGTTCAATTTCAATATATAGGTGGGAAAAAGAAAACTCCAGCACCTACTCTAATCAGAAAAATGGCAGGTGCTCCTGCTAAATATCCTCCAAACCAAGACAAAAAGGGTAAATGTTCAATCTTAATGTATAGAATGATCATTTATGATGGTATATCATTAATGTTCAATTTCAATCTATAGGTGGGAAAAAGAAAACTCCAGAAGAAGTGAAGAAAACTTCTAAGGTTGCTGGCAAAAGAAAAGCAGGTATATAATGATATATTATAAATGTTCAATTTCTATATATAGAATGATCATTTGAGAAAACAATTTTGTTCATTTTATCATTTGCTTACTGTACATTTTCAATACTTCAACAAAATCATATATTTAAATTTCAGATGTCAGTCCTACCAAGAGAAATGATGGAAAGAGAAAAAAAAATACAAGAAGTACCATCAGATGAACCATCTCAAGATCCTACTGATGAAAGTTCTACTGACAGTGATGATGATAGTGAAGAGTCAGTTTATAGAGCAGAAACAGAGCCTGTCAGTGAGGATGATTATGAGGTGGAGGAAGAGGAGGAAGAGGAAGAAGTAAAGCCAAGGAAGAAACAGGCAAAGAAAGGGAATTCAGTGAAGGAAAAGGCTAAAAAGGAGGAGCAAAAGATGGTACTGTATGATGAAGGAATGATTGAAGGTAGGGGAAAAAAGAAAATGAAAACTGAAATTGTTCAAGCAATGGAAACTGATGAAGTTGAGGAAATTCAGGAAGATGAATTTGAGGAAGAGAAATCTTCAAAGAGAGGAGGACATGTGAAGTTCATTGCATGGATAAAAAAGATGACACCTACCCAAAAACAACAAGTTGTTGATATAGGGTTAGGATCACTTCTTGACATTAGATTACCTCAACTTGATCAAAAGTTCTGTAATTGGTTATTGGGAAGTTTTGAAGAAAATAGCCAGTGTTTTGAACTACCAAATAATGAAAAAATAAAAATTGAGGTAGAGGATGTTAGGGTAGTTTATGGCTTGCCTACAGGAGAAATTCCAATTGTTGAGCCAAAGTCTGATAAAATTAGTGAGGAGTATGCAGAATTTCTGAAGAAATGGAGAAAATCATGGTCAGGAAAAACTCCATCAGTGAGTCAGGTATGATCAGTTTTAAATGTTCATTTTAAATAAATTAAATGATCAAAAGTATAAATTTTTTGTTCATTTTGTTTGCAGATTGTGAATGGATACATAAATGATAAATTACCAACAACATACCACCAAGTGAACATTTCATTACTAACTTTTTAGCAGTGGCTGTGAACTGCTTGATGAAATGTGTATCAAACAATCAATGCCATTTCAAATTTCTTTATTCTATAATGGACAAAGAAAACATAAAAAATTTGAACTGGTGTCAGTTTGTATATGACTCACTTATAAAATGTCATGTTGATTGGAGAAAGCAGCAAGTCTCTTCAATTTCTGATGGTATATTCTTAGATACAAAATGTTCATTTAAATTTTAATAAATGCACTTTTTTTATTGTTTATGTTCTTTTCCATGTTTTCTTTTTTCTTGTAGTTGTTCTATTTTGATAGAGTTCAGAGGTTAGACAAAAGGCCTTCAAGAACATTTCCTATCATATCTGCATGGAATAGAGACATGGTTCTTGAGAGGTTGAAGATTGAATTAGAATTGGGATTTGGGAGAGGGAAAATTATACCAAGGATTGCTGCAGAAGTTGAAGAAAGTCCTAAGGTTATAAAATGATCACTTTTGTTAACATAAATGTTCATTTGTATAATCTGAAATGTTCAACTGCATAATTTTTAATATTCATTCATATAGGTTTTCATGGATGATTTTGTTTCCCTGGTAAACACAACTTATTCAAACCTGTCAAAGCTTTCTTCAAAACTAGTGAAGGCGAAGGACATCTTCCCTGGAAATGACTTGGTGAAAAAAGTTGATGAAGTTTTAGGAAAGGTGGCAGCTAGGGAACCATCAATTCTAAGCCAAGATGAAGAATTCTTTGGCAGTGAGGATTTCCTAAATGCACTTGCACAAGCTGAGAAGAATCTGAGGCAAGGGTCTGAAAAGCAAACAACTGAGAAGCAAATGACTGGGAAGAAATTAACCAAAAAGGGAAAGGAAAAAGAACAAGAATATGACATCAGAAAAGCTTTCAGCTTGGGGTTGACTCCACCTTCTCCAGCCATTGGTAAATTCTAACTAAAAGAGACTATATATCCTAATTTTTATATGAAAAATTCTAAATTTGTGGTCTAAATTGTCCTAAACAGAAACAGGGCCCACCTCTTCAACACTTGGTAATATAATTGAACAACCAATAATTTCAACAAATGGTAATATGTTCATATATTTAATAATTATGTACATAAACTTAAGTAGAAATGTTCATTTCTAATTATTATGTGTAAATACTATTAACTTAGTGCATCTCCAAAATGATGATTTATAATACAGCTGGAGAAAAGGATGTGGGTAAAACTTCAGCAACTTCAGAACAAAGAATTGAAGAATTTTCTAGAACTGGTATAATGTTCAATTAAAAAGTGTCAAATGTTCATTTACAAACAAGAAATATTCATTATTAATTGTATTTTTTTGTTAGATGCAACAACTGGTTCAAAATTTGATGCTGACACTAGGTCAAATAATGAAGGATTGCCTAGAACAGGTATAATGTTCAATTATAAATATCAAATGTTCATTTACAAAGAAATAATATTATATCTTATTAAATTTTTTCTTAGATGCAGGATCTGGTTCAGTGGTTGATGCTGACCCTAGGTCAGATGGTGGTGAAAAAAGTGATGATCCAAAAAACACAATTGGAGGTGGAAAACAAAACAAGGAAGAAGTTTTTGAAAAAACAAAAAATGATGAAAAAGTGGAGGGGTAAAATCTTGAAGACATGTCTTACTATTAGGGTTATGTAATTAGTAAGGATAAAATATCTAGATGGAACAATTTAACTTATGTTACTATCGTGTTGTAACTTGAAACTGGAGTTTCTCAAACAATTGTATGTGTGTACATTATTTTGTTGAATATGTAATATGAATGTGTGGTTTATGTTAAATCAATATCTTTCATTTTATGAATTTAAAATGATTCAGGGTGTTACATAAGAAGCTTATATTTTATTAATATGTACTGACATTGTTTGACTTTTCAGTGAAAACAAGAAGATTGTTGCTTCATCCTCAAAAGTCTCAAAAAGGTAAATTATTTATATTAAGTAAATGTTCAAAAATAATAATGAAAATTTTCTTATACCTAAATGTACATTTTTGTTATGTAATATGACTAGGAATGATGAAAAGAAAAAGTCAATTGCAAAAAAGAAGAAAAAAACTGAAAAGGAAAAGGTTGAAAGGTATAATTTCAAATTTTTTTATATACACTCAAATGTTCATTTATGTTCCTCATAATTTTCTTAATTTAACAATATTTTATATTGAACAACAAGACCAAAACGCGAAAAACAAACAATTCCTCCTGCTTTCCGATCTCCTTACTTGGTCAAGTACAAGGATCTGTTTAAAGATGAGAAAGCCATGAACCAAATTGCAGTAGACTTTGCTCTTGGTGGAAAAGATGAAAGGTAATTACTTAGACTAATTAAACTCAAGGTTTAATATATTTTATAAAAATATGTTCACATTCATATTATTAAATGTTCATAATGCAGTGCACTCTTATACTATGATGGCTTGAATCTCATCAATAGAAATGAAATGAAAACTCTTGGAGATGATGTTGAAGTGACAAATTGTGTCATAGATGGATGGGCAAGGTTTCTAAATCATAAAAAGCCGAAAAACAAGATTTATTTCTCAACAATACTTCATGTTAGTCTTTCTTCTTTTTTTTTTTATTATTGATTCTATTTTCCTATGATAAATAATTGCTAAAAATTCATTTAACTTCTATATGTTTGTTTCTATTTCAACAGCACATTATGTGCACAAATAGAGTTTGTCGAGAAGGATCATCAATGAAGACAAGAATTAAAGCCTTCATAGAAAGAATTGACAATGAACTGAAGTTGAATAAAATTGACAGCATTGTTGGATATAAACAGGTATTAATTCTTGTTTAATACAAATGTTCAATTACATTCAATATATTGTCCAATAACATTATATAAATTGTTCAAGTCTTCTTCCCAGTATCAACTTCTCAACATTTTTTTCTGTTGTGCGTCAATCATATAGAAGAAAAAATTCTTATAATTGACAATTGAAAACTACCAAAACATGTATCAGTCCAAGCAAAATATGAAGAACAACCAAAAATGATGGTGAGATAATATGTTCATTTATATTTGGATACATGATCAATTATATTTTATTAATTGTTCATGTCTTCATCACAATACAAACTTCTAAACAATTTTTACTCTTTTTTCTATCAGTTAAAAGGATTGGCAGAGTACATGAAACACCTTGGATATGAAGATGCAAATAGAATTGAAGACTACACAGTTGTTTTGGAAAAGATGAAATGGCGTAGCAACAATGACTATACAAACTGTGGAGTTTACATTATGAAGCATATGGAAACCTTCACTGCTGATCCTAATGAGAGCTGGATTTGTGATTTAAAACCAAACAATGTAAGAGTTATAAATGATCAATTATTTAAGATATAATGTGCATTTATGAAACAGTAAATATTGTTTAATTAAAATTTGACAATTCATTTTGTTCAACAGGTGGAACAAATTAGAAAGCTAAGGCTCCAATACACAACAGAACTGATGTTATTTGAAGAAAACACTGAATCAAGAGCAAATAGAAGGAAATCTAGAAAATTTGCAACTTTTTAGTTTCAAATGTTCATTTACAACTATGTATATGTTCATTTCTTATATATGACTCTATTTTTTTTTTAAGAAATAGACTTATGGATTTTATTTTAATAATATTGTAATTGATATTTCTTTTTAATCTTTGAATGAAAGTTTTTTATATTTTATTTTAATATTATTTTAATTGATATTTCATTTTAATATTTGAATGAAAGTTTTTTATAAGTTTTATAAATTGGATGTTGGTTCTTACTTTTGTTCATATGAAAATGACTAAATAATCATTGATAAATGTAGAATTTTAAAACATATAAAATTCTAATGACTAAATAATCATTGATAAATGTATAATTTTAAAAACATATAAAATTCTAATAAAAATTCAAATATACTAAAAATAGTACTATATAAAATATAATATTTATGTCTTTTACATAATAGATCGAAAATTCAAAATTACAAAATAGTAATTAAATCAACATTACAAAAAAGTCTAATGTTTATAAAGTTTTGGAATACTAATTATTTTTCTTTATTAGCCAAACGTTTAGCTACACTTGTATCAAAAAAGGCTAACAACCTATCATACTTAGAAGAAATCTTTTTAGAACCTAATTGAACATTTCTTGATTGATGAATTTGAACACGAGCACCTTGATCATTTCTTTGAACTGTGGGAGGAGTAACTTGAACATTCTGAACACGAAATCCTTGATCATTTATTTGAACCATAGGAGAAATAACTTGAACATTTGTTGATTGAACATTCCTAGAGTTGGATATGATCATTTCTGGATTGGTGTTTGAACAATTCTGAGTTGGATTTTGAACATTCCTGGGAACAGTAGGTTGAATAACAACAGGAGATTTTGTTGACGCACTAGTATGAATTGGAACTCTTGGATTAATTTGAGAGTAAGTTTAAACACTAGAAGCACCTTTATTTGCACCAACATTAGAACGAGCTTGAATAGTAGAAACACCTTCAAGATTTAAATCCTTCGCCTTTAAAAAAAATTAAATTAATCATTAATAAACCAGTATATGATCAGTTACAAACACTTATACAAACAAATAAGGAAAAAAAAAACCTTAGCAATAGATGAAATATCAACATCAATAGGTATGCTGGATGAAAGAGATCTTTCACCAGTAGCCTACAAAAAAACCAAAAAAAAAAATAAAAAAAATAAAAAATTATAATATAGATCATAAATGCCAAAAAATAAAATAAATTTATAATTAATAAAAAACAAACATACCTGATCAAAATCATTGGAAATACTATGATCTGATTCCTTAGAACTAGAAGGAATTTCTTCTACAATAGCTGATTTAAAGCCAACCTACATTTTTAAATTATAAAAATCAATATTAATAAAATATAAATAAAATGTTTTTTTTGGCACATTTGAATTTACCTGAGCCCGTTTATTGCTCAAAACAATACATTCAGTGGGATCACTAATAGAATTAGCATAAGTAATAACACAACCGTTCTCATCAAGTTCCTATTTTTTAAAAAAAAACATAAATGATCATTTACGAAAACTGAAATGATCAATTTGAAAATATGAAATGATCATATACCTGTACAACTGCTTTCCCTATACCCCTTTTGTAAGGAGTGTACATAGACTTTTTCCTCTTGAAATTACCCTTTGCCTTGTTGCACTGCTTCTCTAAGATACTCTTAGGCCTTACATTCCTCTCACCTTTAGGCCTAGCTTTTGGAGGATTCTTGATCTCAAGATCAACAATTTCAACCTCTTTAATAGGTTCACTAAAGTCAATTACACCTGATACGCTCTCACCCTTTTCTTTTAACAGATTGAAATAACACTCAACCTCTGCCCTTGCATTCAAAGAATTCTGACAACTTGTTATCAACTTCACGAACTTTCTGATTGTTTGTGACCTCCAAACACTAGTAGCCACAACATTTGTCCTCAAAGTAGGTTCTTCAATACCATGACTACACATGGAAGCCTTTGTCCATTGTTTCATTATATACTCTTGTGGAATATTACGCTCACAATGCAAATGATATACTCGAAGAGAATGAGAACAAAGTAAACCAGTCTCACTAAAGTACATGCATGTGCAATAAACTGCATGTGTTTCCTTATTAAAAACAACTTCATGCTTGATTATATCCTTCTCAGGCCTCCAACGAAGATATGAATATTCTGGAAAACGCAAACCATTATCAACATGATCATAAGTTGTCCCCCTAATGAACTCCTCTTCAAAAAGCACATAAACTTGAATAGTGTACAATGACCTTGCATGAACTAATATACCAATATTAGCAAAAGCTAGGTGCCTATTACCCCTCAAAGTATTGTAATCTCTTCCACCTTCCTTACTTCTCCACTCAGAAACGACATCAAGAAAAACATGATAAAAATCACATAAACCTTGAGTCTTATTAAGACGTTGTGAAACTGACTTATTAGGTAGTTTCACTACGTTGAGAGGACAATATACCACCAAACCAATACTTCTTAGAATAAGCAGGACACCACATTTCCTTTATTTTATACAAATCACATAACCAATCATCATTTTCACATTCGTATTTATCACACATCCTGTATAACAGAAATGATCATATATTAATTGAAAAATGAACAAAATATAAATTAAAATATGTACATTTGTATAAAGAATAATGATCATAAACAATATGGACACTAATAATATTATGATAACATACAAAAAAAAAAAAGAAAAAACTGTATGATCATATATAAAACACTAAATGTTCATATCTATAACACATAATAATCAAATATATAACATAATAAAAATAAATACATAAAAAAATAATTTACCTTTTCCAGAAATACTCAAATTCAGCAGGAGTTTCACAATACTTCAAAAGATATCCAAACAAATCTGTAAAGTCTTCCAAAGCTCTCAATGCTCCAATGTGTTTCTTAGAATTTTGTTCAAGATGCCATACACATAAACGATGATGAACAGTTGAAGGAAAAATGTTTCTTATACCCGCTGAAATTGCTTGTGCTTAATTAATCATAATTGTAATGGGACTTTTCCTTCCCATTGAGTGCAAAAATGTGTCAAACAACCAATCAAAAGACTCGGTGCGCTCATTAAGAATAAAACCCATACCAAACATGACATTGTTACCATGATGGTTCATCCCAACAAATGGAGCACATATCATTCCATATTTATTAGTTCTATAAGTTGTATCAAAAACCAACAAATCTCCAAAGTAATGATAATCTCTCATCATCCTACCATCACGCCAAAAAAAACTAACTAAAGCACCACTATCATCTTGTTCAAAATCATAATAAAAATCTGCCTAATCCACATGTCTCTTGGCAAAATATTTAATCAATTGGTTACTATCACATCCTTCAATTTGGGCAGCTTTTTCAGATGACAATGCATTATACGCATCAGAAGCAGTAAAAGAAAGATTAGGAGTTCCACCAACCTCCTTCTTTAGAACCCTCAAAGAATCAGTAACTTTGACTCCGCTCAATTTCATTGTTGAAATGAAAAGAAGTTGCTCTTTATTTACATCCCTTTGAGACCTTATCAAATGCCTTTTTTCAGGAGGAATCATAGCATGATTATGAACCATTTCATGTCTTGTACATGTATAGACCCCTAAATGATCAATATGAAACTGCACAAAAGCTAAACAACCAGTTCGATGATCCAACTTCTCATAAATCCTTTTATTCTTACACTTATTATCTTTGAATCCCTCATTACAACAAACAAATCTTTTCATCAAAAAAGAATCATCTCTTCTTCTCTTAATCTTCCCAATTCGAATTCCAAAACCTTTCCTAAAAGCATATTCATTATACGCTTCAAAAGCTTCATCTTCAGATTTAAATTCTTTATCCTTTAATTCAGACTTTTCTACTTCTAAAATAAACAATATCATCCTTTTTTTTTCCACTGCACAAAGTTTTAATATACAATTATAAATGATCATAAAGAGTTTCATGAATGAATAATAACAAATAAGTAAAATGTTCAATATTAAAACAGCACATGATCAATTGCAAAAATTTCAACACATAATATTTTAAACAGTATCTTCATTATTTACCACTACACATAATATCGATATAAAAATGTAAAAATAAATGATAAAAAATGACTTTGAGACTGAACATAAACAAATTAATAACTACAAATAAGAAAACATAAATGATTAATTGAAAGTATAAAATTAATCTAAAAAATATACAACAGAAACACACAATTCTAAAACACAGAGAAAACAAACAAAATATACAACAAAAACACACAATTCTAAAACACAGAGAAAACAAACAAAGCAACAAAATGTTCATACAAAGTATAACAATCGAATTACATAATCATTATAATGTAATCAAAGTAGTAAATTCAAAAATCGAAGATGGATAATAATACATAAATTAAGTTCAAATAAACAGAACATTATAAAAGAACAAAGTAGAGATGATTAAAAATTGCAAAATCATGATCACAATTACTCACTTTGTTGAAGCAACGAATCAACCAAACGAACTCCAAAAGGAAACACACGCTCGCAATCACGATCAAAATCAACGCAATCTCCAGATGCAGAATTCGCCATTGATGATCGGTAACAATTATAACCTTCGTAAAAAAAATCAAATGAAGAAGATGAAATAACGAGAGAAAAATGTAGAGGTTGATCAATTGAAGAGAGAAAAAATAGGGTATAAAATCATATATACATAGCTTGAATAATAAGAAACAAAGAAAAAAGCAGAAGAAAAAAAAGGAAAGAATGGCAAATGAAGCTGCACATGAGAACTCCACCCCAGCTACAAAACGACGTAGCTTAAGGGGGGTGTAGGGAACACACCCTACACTAGGGTGTAGGGTAAAATTTTCAAATAAACATTTACATTGAAATAGTTAACAAAATAATTTTATTCCACGTATTAATGTAACAATACTTAGAATTAATTAGCATAAATGAGAAGCCCATTAACATAACTTAACATAATTTAACATCAACATTGAAATAGTCAACAAAATAACTATCAAACTAGGTAGATTTCATTACGAGGCCAGGCCAAGTGCATCTTAGACTTTTCAAAAAAAAATAAAAATAAATAATAAACTAATGATTTAAATGGTTCCACTGCAGCTACTTCAACTCCTTAACATTGCCAAAGGCAGGCAGCTCGTACAAACAGGCCAGCCTAACCACTGTGGGAACCTAATGGGCAACTTTTAATGGGCCCCTTTCTAACACAAATCTTAAACCACATGGCCACCAAAAACTAGTATAGTCTACCATAAAGCACCACCACTACTACACGATGCACATAAGACTTCGGGAAAAGCAATAACATAGTCGAGGTTCTTAATCCCCGCTTGTCCAATTGTTTGATGGCGTGACAAATTCTTATCTTGATGCATTAACTTTAAGAAATTAAATTCTTTTTCAACCTCAGTAGCCTATTTTTCAAACAATCTCCACAGCTTAGAAGTCAGCTTTCAGCTTTCCATATACCCTCACCTCATGCAGAGGAGTACAAGTGTTCCTGATATAGAAGAACTTAAACCTTGCGTTCATATTCTTCGTAGGATCCTGCAAACATAGTAACAAAAAAAATTAATATTTATGTTAAAATCGATTTTTTTAACTAAAACCTAAACATAAAGCAACTATATAATTCATTTTACCACTCCATGGACATAAATTATGTAGCCGGTACGGATTCTTGCTCTAGCAACGGTATCCGTAGGAGCGATAACCAATCCTGGTTTCTTCAGAATAATGTACGGGGTTGAAAGATCCAAACGGGAATCATAATCACCATAAATTTCTTCAAATGTTTCATCATCCCTCACCTCATAAACAATGCCATGGTCATGATACTCTTAGCAATAATTGTGTGGTAGTTGACACCGCCTTCTTCCTCGACTTGATAAACTATCACATCTTGGTCAACCACCAGACACACATAATAATCTCCAGCACCATCATTATATGGCGAACCATCGTTGACACTATTTACTACCTGGACGACAGCAAACCCAGTAGCCATTTGCTGCAGTACTTTGGCTTCAGCACCAGAAGGTTGGCGACTACGAGGATGCTTCATAATCCTCAGCTCCATAATCCTCAGTTAGGCATTATGATTCACGCTCCATACCCTCAGACTTTGCTACTTTCGAGGGAACCGCTTAGTAGTCCTCTTTTTGGTAGGACGCGGAGGCTTTGGTTTCCCTTTGGTGGTTTAAAAAAGGCTAGCATGTGTAGGTCTTAAACAAGAAGAAACATATTTGTTTTTGTAACCATGGAAACCCTACCAAAATGTTGTGGAGGAATATTTCATGTTTTGGAGGTAAAAATAAAGTTTCCCACCATGATGACTTTATAGTAAAGTACATCTAATGATGACTTGACACATTGAAGCGTTAAAAGGTGGGAATTTACCCTAATATCCCAACCCTTGTGAAGATCAACAGTAATATTATAAGTCATTAGTTAAGATTTGTTTGGTAATTAATAGATTTCAGCATAGGGTTAAAACTGTATAAAAATAAGTTTTACAATTACTAGTAAGATTATAAGCCATTAGTTAAGCTTAATTTCATAATGACACTACAAGAATTAGCTAAAATACCGACGAAACGGTTCCGATGGACCTGAAAATCTGTCGGAAAAATCGATATTTCCGACGGATTTATTTTCCGTCTTATATTTCCAACAAAAAAAAACATTCCGTCGGAAATTTCCGACGGAAAATAATTCCGTCGGAATAATTGGACTTTCCGACGGAATTTTCTGTCGAAAAATGTCTTTTCCGACGGAAAATTATTTCGTCGGAAGTTTTCGACGGAAAAATCCGTCAGAACATATAGCTATAAAAAAGAAATTTTTTTTGTTAACTTCCTAACCCTAATCCCCCCCTTTCTCTTCCGCCCCTTTTCTTTTTCCCTCTCTTCTCTTTCCTCTCTCTCTCTCCTCCTTCTCCTTTCCTTTCTTCCGTTGTTCCGCGCGCGACCCTTCTCTACTCAATTCCTCTCTTTTCTTCTTCTTCTCTTTCTTCTCTCCTCTTCATTTTATTCCCCTTGTTCTTCCATCACCACCATTAACAACATCTCTTCCATCACCACTGACAACAACCAACATCACCGCCATCCTCGCCACCAACAACAACAACACCACAACAAAGCCCACGAAGCTTTTCCGACCATATTTCCGACCACATTCCTGGCGTTTATGGTTTTAAGGTCAAGTTCGACCATGGAAATGCTAGATCTAGCGTTTTCATGGTCGAATTTGGCCTTATATAACCAATTTTAAGACCAATTTCAAGACTTTGAAACGTTTTGGTAAGTTTTTGGGTCTGAATTTCAAATTATTTTGTTCTGTTTTTTTATTTTGGTTTTTAAGTTTACTAGATCTAAAATACGTGGTTATGGTGGTTGTTGAAGTTCGGGTTTAGGGTGTTGGGATTTTAATTTTTTTTTTTCTTTTTTTTGTTAATTTTTTCGGGTTTCGGCGGTGGTTTTAGGTGGGTGGTGGCGGTGGTTTGTTTTCATTTTTTGTTTCTTTTTTTTCTTTTTTTTTGTTCTGTTTTCATTTTTTTATCGGGTTTTAAGTTTTCATTTTAATTTTTTTTGTTTGTTTTTTGTTAATTTTTTCTGGTTTGGTGGTAGATCTGGTGGTTGTGGGTGGGGTGGTAGATCTGGTGGTTGTGGGTGGGGTTGTAGATCTTGTGGTTTTGGGTTTTTTGGTGGTTGGAGGTGTCTGATGTTGGGTTTTTTGGTGGTTGGAGGTGGTGATACGCCGTGCCGGTGGTGGCGCAGCGTATTTTTTTTAAATTTCATAAAAGCAATTTCCGACGATAATTCCGTCGGAAATTTTCGACGGAATTGAATCCGTCGGAATTTTCCGACGGATTGTTGCAGTACCTGAAAAGAATTTTCCGACGGAAAATTCTGTCGGAAATTCCGTCGGAATAGTGTTTCCGGCGGAATTTTTGTCGGAAAAGTTCATTTTTCTTACAAATGCTTTTCCGACAACCTCTTTCGACGGAATTCCGTCGAAAACCCTATTTCCGACGGATTTCAAGGTGTTTTCGACGGAATTTTTCCGTCGAAATTTAGCCTATTTCTTGTAGTGTGAACTAGTTCATTAAATCATACTTTGTATTCAATAATGTGGCAAACACTTAGTAGATAATAATTTTTTTTATCGAACTATTATTTTTATAATTTCAATGAATTAGA